TTAAAGTCTCCCACTACCACTGTGTTGGAGTCTATATATGCTTTTAAATCCTTCAGAGTATGTTTGATGAAATTGGGTGCACCGACATTGGGTGCATATAGGTTGATAATTGTTATTTCCTTTTGGTGTATTTCCCCTTTTATTAGTATGAAGTGTCCTTCTTTATCTCATTTGACCAATGTAAGTTTGAAATCTACTTGTCTAATATAAGTATTGCTACTCCTGCCTGTTTTCAGGGTGGGGGGGGTCATTGACTTGGTAAATCTTCTTCTAGCCTTTCACCCTAAGCCAGTGTTTGTTTCTGTCAGTGAGATGGGTCTCTTGTAAACAACAGATTGTTGGATCTTCCTTTTTAATCCAGTTTGCCAGATTGTGTCTTTTGATAGGGGGAGTTGAGCCCATTGACATTTAGTGTTAATATTGATAGATATGTGGTGATTCCTGCCATTTAGTTGTTTTTGTTGTTTAAGGGTTTGATTGTGTGCAGCTGAATCAATGCTACTCTGTTTCCTAGTCTTGTCTTCTGTGGTTTGATACTTCCTATCCTCTATAGTTTTGTTTGCTTTCATCTTCTGTGTGCAGAATTCCTTGTAGAATCTTCTGTAGTGGTGGTTTGGTGGTCATATATTGTTTTGGTTTCTGGTTATTGTGGAAGATTTTTATTGCTCCATCTATTTTGAATGATAGTTTTGCTGGATAGAGTATCCTAGGGCTGAAATTATTTTCATTTAGTGCCTGAAATACTTCACTCCATGCCCTTCTTGCTTTGAAGGTTTCCATTGAGAAATTTGCTGTGATTTTGATGGGCTTACCTTTATATGTTATTTGTTTTTTCTCTCTTACAGCCTTCAATATTCTTTCTCAGTCCTCTGTGCTTGTTGTTTTAATGATAATATGCCAAGGGGAGGTTCTAGTTTGGTCAAGTCTGTTTGGTGTCCTGGAGGCTTCCTGTACCTGAATGGGCAAAACTTTCTTGAGATTTGGGAAATTTTCTGTTATTATTTTATTGCATACATTACAAATCTCTTTGGCTTGCACCTCTTCTTCTTCAATGCCCATGATTCTCATGTTTGGTTTTTTGATGGAGTCACTGAGGTCTTGCATATTACTTTCACAGCTCTTGAGTTGTTTGACTAAGATTTCTTCTGTTTTTTCTTTAATTTGTATTTTATCTTTGAGTTCTGAGATTCTGTCTTCTACTTGTTCTAGTCTGCTGGAATGGCCTTCCACTGTGGTTTTTGTTTGATTAAAGGGACTTTTTATTTACAGGATTTTTGTTTAATTCTTCTTTCTGAGGTTTTGCATATCTTTGGTCAACTCCTTTATGTTTTTTCTTGTCACCTTTAATTCATTTATTTCTCTTTTTATAGTGTTCTTTGTTTCACTTTGGTGTTTAAGTTGTCTCTGAGTTCATTTATTTGTTTCTGTGTCCTCTCATATTCTTTATTTTTGGTGTCTTGACATTTCTTGAGTGTATCTTGTACATTTTGGTTAGCCATGTTTAGTATCTTCTCCATAAATTTCTCAGTGATTTCTTGCAAGATTTCTTCTTTGAGGGTGTTTGTGGACATTGCTGGGCTCCTTAGTGACATTTATCATTGTTTTGTTGGGGTCAGGAATTGGGTATCCATTTTCTTCATTTCCCACTGAATCCTGTATTGAAATTTTTTTGGGGTGTTTCCATCCCTTCTTCTTCCCATTGCTCCACTTGGTGCTGTGCTGATGTACTTTTTATACGTGTATGAAGATAGAACATTGAAACCCAGTGACATCATTTTAAGTAGGTGGGGAGGGAAATGAGGGAGAATAATAGTGAGGATGAACTAACCAAGCTACGTTGTAAGCACATATGGAAATGGCACAATGAAACCCCCTGTACAACTATTATATGCTAATAAAATGTTATAAAATATAGAAAAAAGAAATATAAATGTGTTTAAGTCCACTGCAGTTAAAATGTTATACCCTTGAAAGTTTCATATAATGTGTAACTATGTAACCTTTTGCTAAGGCCCCTCCCAGGGTCTTAAAGTTACCTGTTCCAGGGAGGGACCTCTGAGGCTTTAGGAATTTCCAGGTAAATTCATCATTGATTTAACTAAGTTACAATCTTTGACAACAAAAATACAACAAAAAAATAGTTCCTGGGCTGGAGAAATAATAATCAATCTTAATTATTAAATAATAAATATATACTCCATGTAATAATTGTAACTTTAAATATTATTATCACAGCAACTAATATTTATACATTTCTTATATGCCAGGCACTGTTCTAATTGGTTTATTAATGCTAATTCATTTAGTCTTGATATGGTCCTAAGAGATACTCTTTTCTTTTTGTTCATTTATTTATTTATTTTTCCCTGCAACCTTTTATTTTTATGGTACTGGGGTTTGAACTCAGGGCCTACACCTTGAGCTATTCCACCAGCCCTTTTTGTGTTGTGTTTTTTGAGACAGGGTCTTGCAAAGTATTTGCCTGGGCTGGCTTCTAACCACAATCCTCCTGATCTCTGCCTCTCAAGTAGCTAGGATTACAGGCATGAACCACTAGTGCCTGGCTTAGCCTTTTCTTAAGTAATTCTGTAACTTCTATATTATGGTGAGGTGCAATGTGTGATTTGAGAGTTAATATTAGTAATTAAGACTGGAATGAAAGAAACTGCCAATTGGTTAACGGCTATCAAGCAAAATCAGTAGTACTTGGCCAATCAATGCCAACAAAATTGATGTAGCTTGTGAACTTATTGTTATTCAGTAAATTCTGACATGGAAAGCTTACTCATGACACACAGGCTGGCCTTGAATTCATAATCCTCCTGCCTTAGCCTCTCAAGAGGACTGGAATTCTTATAAGAACAAGAGATACCAGTCTTCTCTCTCTCTCTCTCTCTCTCTCTCGAGATACTCTTTTCATCTTGCTAATGAGAAACCAAGGCACAATTGGCTATTTCTTGTTTGCAAGATGAAACTGAGGCAGAGTTGAGTATCTTGCCCAAACTTCCCAGGTAGTAAGTGCTGGGGCTGGAATTAGAACCCAGGCAGTAAGACTCAGGAAGGTCTGGGCTGAATAGAAAAGATATACACATAAGTAGATACTGGCAGTATTTAAGAGTAAAGAGAAAACTCTTGTATAAGTTTCCAAGCATAAAGTATGAAGTATCTAAGAAGGAAAAGAAATGCCACACTGGTAATGTCTGCTCATCTACAACACGTGATGCTAAAAGGCAGTGGAAAGCACCTCAGACCGGAGAGGCAGAAAGTGCAACTCAAGAACCTTCTACCAGCCACCATGGGTTCACCTAGGATGAAAGGAGGAAATTTGGGGATACAAAGGAATTCAGACAGTATCATATTCAAATACTACAGGTGAGAAAAACACCTAAAAAAAACTTTAACCAAGCAACAAATAAAGGAGAGCAGGGGGCTCAAATGTGTTATCACCATTGCATTTTAATGTCATGTGTCAACTAAGAACTTCTGAAACAACAGGGCCAACTATTAGGGAAGTTCTGATACATAATAAATAATTTAGTTCAACCCAGTAGCTGAGAGCTGGGAGAGGAAGTGGGTAAAAATGTATCAAAGGTCTCACTGTAGTCAAGAGACGAGACAAGAGTCCTCCTGATGGTGAAGGGGTACTCTTGGGGGAAATGAGTGTCCTGCTGTCAGAGGACACAGTCCATACCCTTTTTTAAAGAAATAGTAGCACTCCATGTGCTCACTTAAGAGAGCTGAGAAAGGATCTTCATGAATGGAATAATAATCTCCAAACTCAGGGAGAACAACTGAGTGATTAGTAGACAAGTTGATCAAGCTAGCAAAAATTTTAAAAATACCTGCTCATAAGGAGTTATGAGCAGGTCTGTCACCCTGAATTCTCTCACTGAAAGGGACACCAGACTGGGACAGAAAAGATCAAAACTGCTGTGTGTTTGTAAGAAAATACTGAACTTGAAAATACAGCAGCAAAGGAATTTTAGGCAAATGCAAGCAAAAAGAAAGGAGTGAAAATATTAATAAGACATGGTGAAATTTCAGTTTAAACTCACCAATCTAGACAGAGGACTATGTGCAACAAAAAAGACATAATTTTCAATGAAGCAAAAATATGTATACACCAAATCACAAAGAGGCTGAATGATGCAACTAATAAAAATGAAAAAGCTTAATAAAAAACAAAATAACAATATGATCTCAAAATAGCTTTTTCAGAATGGAGCAGATAGTAACACAGTAATGATATCAAAGAACATTTCTTAACTAGAGAGTAACATTATCTTATGTTCATGGCAGAATCACAAAAATTGATCAAGATCTTGGTTACAGAGAAAAACCTTAATTTAAAATGTAGAGGTTTTACAGGCCACATTTTTGGACTATGGCACAAAATTAGAAATAATAAAAATACAATTTTTTACTCAGTTTTTCATAGGGAAATACTTTCACAAGTTCAACAGTACAAAAAACAAAAACAAAAACACAAATAACAAAAAAAACCTACCTTAGCACTCTAACAGTGTATTTTTTTTTATTTGGTGGTAATGGGGATTGAACTCAGGGCCTCCACTTGAACCATGCCCCCAGCTGTTTTTGCTTTAGTTATCTTTCAGATAGTATGTCACACTCTTGTGAGGGTGGGCCTCAGAATAAGATCCTTCTACTTCTGCCTCCCCAGTAGCTGGGATTATAGGTATACACCACCATGCCTGGCTTGCTTCTGAAATAGAGACTCACTAACTTATTTTTGCCCAGACTAGCATTGAACCATGATCCTCCTATTTCTGCCTCTCAAGTAGCTGCAATTACAGGTGTGTGTCCCTTTGCCTGGCCCCTCACTTCGACAACTTATAAGTGAAATGGCAACAACAAAGACAAAAAAAAAAAAAAAAAAAGCAAGCAAACAAGATGTCCACCAGAAAGAGACTGCTCATGAGTTAATTATGGAAAAACTTTGCTATCAACAATATTAACAAGAATAAGAACATTTTCCTTACCTTAATTTCTGCAAGAGATGCCATTGCCCAGGCTATGGTAGATCGTAGTCCAGCTGTCTGGATATAATTTCTGCTGGCTAAAGGAACCCTACAAAGAAAAGACACTGATGCTATACCAAATATTAGTGTATGCTAAAGAACAGAATATAACTAAAAATGATTAATCTGTCTCTGAGAATCATTTTAATTTATTTATCTGATATAAAATATTCTCTAAATTAGAGAATATTTAAATCTTATTAAAAACACCTCTGTAATGGGAGCTTTGTCTAACCAGCCAGTGTGATATTTCAGAAAGGCAAATGCTATAGACAACTGAAATTTAAACTATCCTGTGTTTGAGTTATAAAAATTTAATGGTGAGAGAAATCTATTACTTATACTTCCCTGCACTTTCACACATCACAGGCCTTTCCTTGCACGCTTGCCTCATCGAGAGCAATGCATTGTGCTGTGATCTGGCTTGAGTATGCACAGCATGACTGAGTGCATGCTGACCCACAAACCTGTTTTCTAAAAAAGTCCTTTTTGTAAGTTCTTCCCTCATTTGCATCTTTCTCAAAAGATGAAATAAAACATGACAACACAGTGTCTCAAGTATTTTATTGAATGAAGAGACGAAGTGGGCATCTCCCAACTGAGTTCACTGCTCTCCACTATGTACTATTTCTACCTTCTAATGCAATGAGAAGCAACATCTTGGAAGTGCCCATGTGCTTTTTAGTTCACTCTTACAATTTGGAGGTAAAAAGTTAGGATTTTGGAATTTGTGCTGGTTTCCGCGTAGGTCTGTTCCAAAACCACTAAGTCACAATTGTCTCCAAACTCCTCTTTAAACTTTCAACAGAATTCCAAGAATGTAAATTTCACATTGGTTTCTTCCATCATTTTATTTCTCATTTTCACTGGATTCACATAATCCTGTTTTTGTTTGCATTTACTGCAAGCCTCTTAACCTCTGAATCAGATCACAGATCCCTTTCAAATACAACAGTATAACTGCATACTTACTGTTCTAAGGAAAAAGTTCTGCATGGTAAACCTATGGGGGTTGGCATTTTAATAAAGATTTTTCAGAAAATAATAATTCCCATTGTAAATAATAGTAATCCCAATTGTAGTCACAGATTTGAAATCCAGGTTTGTAAACTGGCAAATGGAGAGACCATAAAATATTTTGATCAATGAATTCTGCTTCTCCAGGGTAAGCTGGGCAACTATCTTGCTACAAATTGTAACAGGTTAGTTCACACTCTGGATGCCAGTGAAAGTAGACGCACTGTGGAACACTGTCTTTATCTTTACACACTAAATGGCCTCTTCTAAGCAGCAGGGATTTATGTGGGACCTTTAAGATTTTGATAATTATGTACATATTTTTACTAATGTAAGCTTTATCTTATGGGACCAACCCTATTAATATGTAACAAATGTGAACATATTCTCCTTTTGCTTACACCTAAGCAAAAGGGATCTGCTATTACTTCAATAAACGGGCCCTGTTAAAATCAGTATAATAAACTTACTCAGGGGAAGGCAGTATTCATAAATAAAATTCCTTGAAAATAAAAACAATGCTCTACTTCATAGAATCTGACAGTGTTAAATTGGATTTTAGCTGGATTTTATGTAGTTCAAAAATAAATGTGGATTTTTTGATCCTTCTTTCCACATAGATGCATCTTGCTTTTATTCTCTTATACACCATCCCTCACCAGGACAAAGATATGCTTATCACCTGAGCCCAGATCTTTTCTTCAAATATGAACTTGGGCATTTTTACCTTGAGAGTAAAAATTTAATACCTTCATCAGATATTAAATAAGCACACTTCTCCTTTTCCTTGTATATTATATCTTCATACATCCCTTCTTTTTCTAATGCTACTAGCCATCCCTACATTGGCTACCCTAATCTATATCTTTAGTCTAGACTTGTCACCCAAACTCCAGATCTGTAATTTTAAATATCTATGTGGACATTGGTCATTGAGCATAGTTTATGTAGATGCCTACTTTGCCTATAAGTTCCTTTCCTTTTCTTGTCTACTGATGAACCCTTACTATGCTCTTCTTCTAGACTCCTCTTCAGTGATACTCCTGTAATGTTCTTTTGTTTATTAGTTAAATCCTCTTTCCTAACTTTTTTGATCATGTCTGTTTTGCCACTAGAAAAAATTTCTTAAATTTAATAACCACCTTATTCATCTTTGAACTTTGAGTATCTGAAGCAATGCTTATCATATAGAAAGTACACAATTGGTGTTTCAACTGAAATTATGTGAGTGAATTACTCTTACTCTGGTAAGTGTTTCTCCCCTTTCCTTACTAGCTGTTTAACTGTTTCAAAACTAAAGCAGTTGAAATTTATTGTATCCTAGAAACAGTACCAAGCATTTTCACATGGCTATCTCATTTACTCCAAACCACAGAGCTATAAATTGGTATTACTCTTTTCCTGATTTTATAGCAGAGAAAGAACAACTTGCCCAAACTTGCAGAGTTAATCTGAAGAGAAGGAGAAGTCAAGTCCATGCTTCTCATCCATTATGCCACACCGTGACGTGGACAGTGTGGCATGGCTACATGCAATGAATGCCCGATGGAGCCTCTGATATCCAAACGGTTCTTCTCTTTAAAGAAAGTAGAGCTCTATTATGAACAATGTCTTCAGGAACTACTAACATGTATGTTTTGGCGTGACCTTCACGCTTCCTGGCTGTTTTATACTCTGTCTCATCATTTCTCACACCCTTCTGTTGTCATAATCTTAGGCATTTAAAAAATAATCTTGACTTAAGATTGCAAATGCACAAAGGTGAGCTTAAGGCAAATGCAGTATTGCCATAGGACTTTCCTGATCTTCAAAACATTCCATTGCCTAGAATCACCTACGGAAATTGTATCTAAATCACTACATTACGTAAGCAGGGTTACGCATATAAAATGTTCTGATGATGACACTAATATTTACATGCTCCCAAGAAACTGGAAATCAGTTTTATCCAACCAGGTCTTCATCTCCAAAGCACCTAGAGAAAGTACCTGTCACACAGTAAGAGTTTAATATGTACTTTAAAAAAAAAAATCATTTGCATTTGTTATTACTTAGTACTCTGCATGATACTTGGGAGACACTTGGAAAAGATTTTTAAAAACCTGGCAATAACCTCTCATAATAAAAGAAGAATGGCAATAGAACCTGGAGAACATTCAAAATGAATTGAAAGAGCTACGCTACATTTTCTTTAAAAAAAATTAAACTTTCAAGATGCCAATAGACTAAAAATTTTAGCTTAACCATGGTTCTGTGAAAATCATTTAAGAATAGAAATAATTAGATATAATTTTCTGTATCAGTCATGCAATCAATGGATGACTGTGTTCAGATCTTTCACAGCTCTGACTGGTCAGATCAAATCATATTCACTAAGCTCCGTGAAAACACATTACTGGCTGAAGCAAAGAACTCAAATGCTTTGCCTTTAGTTTCCTCTGTTACATATTTCACATTATAAATAAAAAGTTCTTAATGTGATAAACTCTTAAGGGACAAACCTGAAATTTAGGATGCAAATAATTACCTGAACACAGGAATCCCCACAACAGAGTAAACATCATTTAGATGTATAAAGATCTGAAAGAACAAACACAAAATGGAACAAGAAACTGCATAACAAATTATTGACAATTTGAAACTTCTATTTTGAACATCTCTGACCTATATTTTAATAAGAATTTCCAAGGCCTACTTGTCACATCTGGAAAAATGTTTCATAATTTTTTTTTCTTAAGCAGAAGCAAGCTAGATTTTAAGTATATTTCACAGAAATACAAGTTATATGAGTATTGTATTGCAAAGATCTCAGAATCTTTCCAGTGATTTCTAAAATTACAACTGGATCACATTTTCAGTAAAAATCCGTACATCTCCTCTAATTCTAACCTCAAGTAAGACTTGAAGCCATGCAGAGCTATCACAGGCTACAAATACCTGAAAAGTAACAGAAAACTTTTAGTTCAAATACATGGCAACAAGTGTGTCCTTTCCTCCCTCAGTTATCTCTAGGGGAGTTTCTGCCTCTCTTCCCTTTTTTCTGTTAAACTGTGCAGAGAATTTTAATGCCCCAAATTATTAGCAGCCCACATAAAATCGAAAAAATGAGAATCTTTCTTACTTGTGTAACCTGACAAGGTTTTCAGAATATTCTAAATTTCATTTTGAATCTTAAGGGCATTTGGTCCCTGAAATTGTCACCCAAGGTTCCCCACCTTCCATACCTTCTCATTCCAGTGCTAGATTGAGTCTAAGCACCATGATTAAGTACTAGGTAAGCACTCTATCACTGAGCTGACTCTATCACTGAGCTGTACTCCTAGCTCCCCAAGGAGTTTTTGTTTGTTTTAGGTACTGGGAATTGAATCCCAGGCCTTGCGAATGCTAGGCAAGCACTCTTCCACTGAGCTCCAACCCCAACTCTTCTATATTTTATTTGAAACAAGATCTCACAAAGTAGCCCAGGCTGGCCACAAACTCTGTATGCAGCCTAGGCTGCCTTGAACTCATGATTCTCCTGTCTCCACTTCCTGAGTAACTGAGACTACAGGCATGTACTACCATACCTGGCACCAAGATTATTTTTAATATGAGCAGTTTAATCAGAATTATTCCAATATTGGTACAGTTTCATCAAGAAAAGAACTACCTGAAGTGACTCCATTCAGACAATTCTTTGATTAACTGAAACATCACAGCTAAACCTTCCAACTTTATATATATATATATATAAAATATATTATATATATTGCACTTATATATATATTATATATATTGCATTTATATATAATACACATATTGCATTTTAGTAAAATTAATTAGAATCATTTTCTACTTATAATTCATACTAAGATATGATATACTGATCTCGTTACATACTGAATGTCAAGAACAGCTATCCCCACTATAAATTTCTTTCCTGTCAATTTTGCAGAACAGACTTCATTAAGATTTGTTTCTTTTGTCAATTTTTAGTCATATATTTTGTTATTTTAATGTCACTTTTATTTATGTGATTATTCTACCAGTTATAGCTACTGTTAACTGCATGAAATGGAATTATATTTACTGTATTTTTCATGAATAAAACTGTAATTCTGACAGTGAGATGGAGTCAGGGGAGATGGGGGAAGAAAACAAGGGGAAAAACAAGAGAACTGGAAGAGTGGAATGGGAATAAGATGCTTTCCCATCAAAATATTCAGGGAGGCCAAAATACTTGCCATGCAAAGTTGAATATACACCATATGTTACTTTTTAAAAGTGAAAAACATCAAATAAAAGAAAATTTAAAAATGAAACAAAGTGTTCTGATTTTTTTTTTGGCTGATTTATTGTAAGCTCCATAACAAGGCATAAGTTTATAAATTAATGAATCATGAAAATGACTAGCTATCCGTCAAATGTATAAGATGGTTTTCAAAATAAAGACTATATTTGTTGTTCCTTTTAAAAGATAAAGATAATCCCATAACCCTAACAAAGTCACTATTAACAGTACTACTGAATTTTGTGCAGGTCTTTTTGTTGCTATTCTTTTTCTTTAAACAATAGCTAGATTTCTTACTAAAGAGACTTGTTATATATTCTACTGACTATAGGGCACACCTCTGCAACCTCACAGTAAACGCTATTTTCCTCAGCTGAGACCAGATGACTCCATTCCCAAAGTCTTGCCTTGTGGAGTTTGGATATGACATTTTCACAGTGAAAACTACTAGCATAGCTATCTGCACTATTCTCCTGCTAAAGAGAAAACAGACTGCTGGATCCATGTCGACACGCTTTTTATAACTAAGGCAAAACTGAAAAGTATGGTAGGAACAGATGACACTGTCTGTAAAGAATTAGGTTACATGTACATAAATTGAAGCAAATGTTTGTTACCTCTAAGTTTGGTTTCCTCAAGTCTGCTTTCCAGCCAAACTGTTTCATAAGGGCAATTCCAATTATTTTTCCTACCTCCTGAAAGTAGCAAGTTACAGAAAAGTTAAGAATATACTAAAAATGAAAATTTTAAACATAAGCAAAAACAGTCTTATAGAAAAATAAAATCAGGTTTCCTGATGGTTCTGATAATAATTTATTTTCTAATAGTAAACTCTTACTCAAAATACTCCTGCTTCAGCTTCCAGAGTGCTGGAATAATAGGTGTGCACCACCATGCCCAGCTACACAAGGCATTTTTTATTCAAGGCAATCAGGCTGTATTTTATCTCCTCCACTCCCTGCTATACCTGCTGGCATTAATGTCTACTCATGACTAATCTCTGATCTTGTAAACAAGATCATGACCTGATAAATATGTTTACTTTAAGTCACAGGAAATGAGTACAAGCTGTTACAATTCTAGCTACTATAATCCTCTATGTTTCAAAATTACCAAATCAGCATCATTAGACTCAACCTTTTGAGTCTGCCTGATTCTAAGTTTAGCTAAAGGACCCCAACCAATATTATGCCACTAAACTCTCTTAAGGGTCAACCAATGAGGTTTTGTGATGGAAACTCTGGTGTTTCTCTCTCTTCCCCAGACTGCTGAGACCTCATGTGTCTTTGTGTCTTTGTGGTCTACATTTCAGTAGCAATCCTACATATAGTACCTGCTGCAGAGTAGCCATTCAAAGGGCACAGAATTAAAATGAAGAGAACCCTCAAAATCTTAGGACCATGACATTAGGATTTATGAGTGCAAAGGACATCTATGAATTTAAGGAAAATTTCAGGCAGAAAGTAAAAGAAGGTTATTACATGGAATGGCATACCATTCCTCTTAAGTACCTGAGACTCAGTTAAAAAGAAAAATGCACTTTTAAATATATTTAATTATATGGGATTAGGACCAGTTATCTGTGAGAGGTCCACATTTCATCTAAAATCTGAAGAGTAATTAATTCTTTTAGAAAATGGGACCTGCTTGGAGAGGAGTAAGCATACCTGGGCAGTAAAGACCTTTCCAATAGTTCCACTGCAGCGACAAGAAACCCTGAAGGTCAAGTCCTGCTGGCTGTGAGTCCCAACCGCTTCCTCTGCATCATTCTGGGGCTCTCTTTCTTGAAGCTTTTCCTTCCTAGTGGCAGTGACAGAATCGCTTTGGTCCAGTGCACCTTCTTCTGTTTGTGTTTCTTGTTGGCATTCCCTATGATTCTCCTCCATCTTTTGCACCTCTTCTGTTTTTAATTTTTTAACAATGGTTTCATGTTCTCCCTCTTTTCTTTTTAAAGGGTTAGCACCCCTTTGAGAAAGTTCTTCATTGTTTGCATCAAGTTCCAGAAGATTTTTCCAAAGTGAAATAGCGTTCAACCAGCTTCCTGGGTCATCATTTATAAGTTTATGCATTTCAATAAGTATTTTTCCTAAGTAAATAAAAGCTCAGGTTATCCTCTCTTGGAGTTTTAAAAACCAACTGTTTGTTTCATTCAACACCCCTAAATTTCATAACTTTTATTTCTTTAAAATAAGTTTTATTGAACTGTTATATGAGTAAAACTTCACTTTCATTTGGGATTTATAATATATCATAAGAATATTATACAGAATAAAGGTTATTCTTAAGTTACATACCTAGCATGGAAGTTGTATTTAAAGTCCTATAGAAATACCATTTATTCTATGTTAATATATGTACCTATCTCATGAATATATGCATAGCCCTAGTGTATATACCAATCTTTGAAATAAGGGTGATCTTGTTTATAAACATTAAGATTAAAAAAAGAATACATTGTAAAAGACAGAGCTCAGAAACAGAACAGCTGAATCTTAGGACTATTTCATTTCAGATTATACAGCATCAGTAAAAATCTTGAAATTAGCATAAATTTTTAAATCTTAAAATTTTTATAAAGTAAAACCTCAGATACCCAAACCATGCAGGGACTGCCAGCATGCTCAGGAAAATTTAATCTTTTCTTGATGAAAAAGATCATCAGGATGATCTAAAAGTACTCACTGTATCTCCCTGGAGATGTACTGCCTGGTCTTGGTGTCTTGGCATTTGTATCTTTCTTGAAATAATTTATTTAGCAATCAAACTAAAGCTTAAGACAGTGTTTGATCCTGTAGTGTCTGATCCTTTTTTGCTGCTTTTATCAAGACCCTTAAATTATTTTAACAGCATATTTATAAAACTAGAGAGTACACAAGAAATCTCTTGAGGTCCCTTAATCAATGGGTAAAATTTATTGAAAACATTTAAGGTCCTAGAAATAGGAAATTTTACTCTGTAGTATTTTTCTAACTATATCACTCAGTTAAAATTTTCAGGGTGATGGTTTTCACCAATAAATGCATTTTGGGTTATTACATGCTTCTAATTACAAATAAATGCAATTAAGCAGTTTTTTTCTAGAAAAAACTGCCTGATAACAACTCACAAATTAAAAATGTCACTTCATACAGTAAATCTCAGAAGAGATTGCAAAGAGAAGATAGAGTCTGCTACAATTATGCGATAATATTCAGGAACAGAAAAGTATGTAACCAATGGTGGCACATGTATGAATAATCTTAACAATGTGAAATGGCTACATATCAATTATTAAGCAGAAAACTCTGGCATGCAATATGTCACATAAATAAAAACACTATGCATACATCATACCTTTACTTAGAGAAGAAACAGTAATTGGAAATTGCTTTTTAATTAGTAAAAATAATCTCTCTGCAGATTTTAACTTCTTCATCACATTCAAATCAGAGTAGGTGGTGAAAAAAACCTTTCCTGAAATATATTCAACCTAGAGACAAAGACAGATGTTAATGCAGTGCAGTGTCAGATAAGAACTGTTTCCTTGCCCTTCTTAATCAATGAATATGTAGCCTTCAAATTAACAATTAAAAATGATCATTTCTCAGGCATCTGTTATTTGCAAGGCACTCCGAATGCACATTTTTTCCTTTATCCATATCACAATGCTCCAAGGTAGGTTTTATCAGACCATTTTATTTATCAGGTAACAGGTTTAGGATGTGTTGAATGATCTGTATAATGTTACATAGTTGGTGATGGAAGCAGTCTTTCTATAATATGCTACCTCTTGTAAAGTACACAAGAACACACATATATGACTAGAAAAGTAGAATACAAAATCTCAGTAATTGCTGGGTGCTGGTGGCTCACGCCTGTAATCCTAGCTACTCAGGAGGCAGAGATTAGTAGGATCATGGTTCGAAGCCAGCCCAGTCAATTGTTCCCAAGACCCTATTTTGAAAAAAAAAAAAAAAATCACAGAAAAGGGCTGGTGGAGTAGCTCAAGGTGTAGGCCTTGAGTATAGAAAAAAAAATCTCAGTAATTATATTACTGAACTTCATACAGTATTTAAAAGTGGGCAAAAGAACATAATACATAGCACAAATTAGGAAAAATTATGTGTCTAGACCAAGGTAGGTATTATTAAGTATCTACCTGTGGTCTCCCATGAAGTAAACAGTATATATCTGAATAATAATGTCATAGACACAAACTAGCATATGAATTAAAATGTAAAATTTATAAGGCAATACTATGAATTAAACCCAAAGAAAGCAAAAATTTTACTACAATGATACACTGGCAAATGTAAATACAGCAAGTGAGCACCAAATATAGAAGCCAACATTTTTTAAAGTCTTGGGGAGAGTCTGTAAGACTTGGGAAGAGGTGTCCTAACGACAGAACATGGGGCAGGTGCAGGAGTAGAAATGAAAATCTGGCTGAAGTAAGCTGCAAGTTGGCCGGGCAACATTTGCTGAATTATGCTCATGGTAATGTCAGGTGGATGGATGGTGTAGCTTAGGACAGCTTTGATCTATGGTCATGGGATTTTGAGTACTGCAGATGGTAATAGTCAGCCATCATAGAATTCTGATGAAAGCTGTGTCAGCACTGACTTAGATGGAAGAAAAAGAATTACTTTGGAAGAGGCATAAAAGACTGAGTGCAGAATGTGATGCTGGAGGGAGGAGATTGTTGAGGTAGGAGTGATGAGACCCTTGGCTATAGGATCTGGAAATGGATAGAAGCGAGAAACACACATCACTGGAAACAGGCTTTGAGATGGGTGGAGTATAGGAGAGGTTAGGGAAGAAAGGGAATAAAATACCTAGAGCAGTGATTTTACCTAAGTAATCAATTTACAGTTTCTTAATTACACAAAGATGTAACTTTTCTTATTTGTTTGAATATTGAGCAAAACATATACAATGAGCAACCACTAAAATATCCTCTTTTCAAAACAAAGATTTACAAAAATAACATGACCAGGTATTGATTAAGAGAACTTAAAGAGTTCAATTTATTTAGGGTTTCAAATCACAATAGTAAATGTGGATCAATTAAAATGCCAAATGTATTCTCAAAACCAAAAGCAGCGACATTCTCCTCTTTAAGAATTAACAAAAGGCTTATATTCTCTCTACAAGTAATAAGCACATAATCAGAAGTGGATCCTGAGTTGTGAGAGTCACAGAGTCATATGTGGGAACACATGTGACATGCTCTGGGAAGGCTGATATGGCCTCTTAAAGCTGCAGGGAGAAGGAATTTTGGTGCTTATAGTATTTCTCTTTTTCTTCAGATTATTGCTCACAACTGACCATATGCAACTATAATACTTAGGGAGAAATGTGGCATTTAGAGTATTTCATCCTAATATTTCTACACGAACATTTATTTATAATTTATTTTTCTCATTTGGAATCAAATTGTAACCAAGTATCTATAACCAGCTGGTTTTATGTCTAATACTTCTAAAGATGAAATAACAGCTCTATTATCTGCTAGCGTAACTAAGTGGTTAGCATTTTTTCCCTTCCTTTTAAAATTCATGGATTCACACTCAGAGATTAAAAGTTTAAGTTTAGGCAAAAACATACAGTCTTTCAGGGAGGTATCAAAGCTCTTCTAATTTTAAGATGCCATTTAATTTTAGGATGAAATTTAAAAGTTCTAAGTGATGTGCTGAGGTGGCATTTGAGTTTGTTTGGGTTCATTTTAGAAGGCAGAATTTAGAAATATTTTATTTATTTCAAAAAGCATTCGGTCTAAAGAGAATACAGTCTTGAGAAAGACAACCTAATGCAAGCATCCCATTAAAAGAAAATAACCACAAACTAATTTGACTATCTGCTTAGCTCTAAGTATACCCTTCTGTCATGATACCATTAAAAAACTGAAAATTGGTTGGCCTACCCAAGATGTGAGTTAATAGTCTCTGATATATGGATTTATAAAGATCAATGAATTGATTGACAAAAACTTCCAGTTAGCTGGCATCAGGGAGACCTCTACTACATTCAATTTTATATTGAGAATAAGTGCTTTTCTTACTATTTTTATAAATATTAGTAAATGTATTACATATTATTATAAAGTAAAGCTTAATTTCCCCCATAATATTTCTTCAAAATGGTCTAAGTAAATAGGTGTGTGTATAAATTCAATATTTAAAAATCCCCAGGCACCTGTAAAGAAGTTTATTCTACTACAGGGATGGGAGGGGACCAAACCTCAATGTCACCAAGCTCTAGACACAACTTACAGGTTCCAGTTTACATGAAATACAGAGGGTAGAGTGTTACAGCTTGCATTGCTGCCCGAAGTTCACACGTTGGAAACCTAATCACCAATGCAAATGCTAAGTGGTAGGACTTTTCATGAGGGCCCTGTTCTCATGAACAGATTAGTGTTGTTATCACACAAGTGGGTTAGTTCTCCTGAGAGAGGCAGGCATAAAAATGAGCTTGCCCCCGTCGTGTGTCCAGGTGTGTGCTCTTGCTTTCTCAACGTGGGATTCCTTCTGCCATGTTATGAGGCAGCAAGAAGGCCCTTGTCAGATACAAACCCTCACTCTGGACTTCTTAGACCCCAGGCTGTGCAAAACACATTGCTTTTCTTTATAAGTCACTCAGTCTGTAGTAATCTGTTTAAGCAACCTGAAAGGATGGAGACTTAGAGGAACATGTTAAACAAGACCAGGGTAAACTGTCAGTGCTGTCTAACAACTTTCTGTTCTGAGGAGATGTTCCATAACCTGTGCTGTCCAACACAGCAGACATACCATGTGTGCTTTGAGAACCTGAAGTGTGACTAATGCACCTGAAAAAGTGAATTATTATTTTACTGTAAATAGCCACTGTAGCTTGTGGTGACCCTATTTTAGGGACAGCAAAGGTATATACCAGAAGTCAGAAAACTAGGCCTGATGAGTTGAGAATGTCTTTTATATTTTTAAAGGAATGTCAACACAACAACAAAGAAGAATATATAACAGAAACCATATGTGACTTACAGAGCCTAAAACATTTACTCTCTGGTCGTTTACAGAAAAAGTTTGCTGATCCCTACTCTAGATAATGGTACAAACAATTCAGTTCCTTTAAGATACAAATCCCAAAGAGAAAAAAAGAGAGGAGAAGAAATGCATAGACTAAGTGACTTAAAAGAGTGTCAGCCAATCACAATGTGTGCACAGTATTTGAATTGGGATTCAAACACACAAGCTTAAAACAAAAGTAGCATTTATGAGACAAGCTGAAATTTGAACACTATTTGAAGGTAAAGCACCATTTTTAGCTATGAAAATGATAGTGCAGCTGACAATTTAAGAGCCTTTATCTCCTTTATATTATATAATACGTACAATGCTATAAAGAGAGATATGTAGAGATATATAAGTAAATATTTACAGATGAAATGATCCCAGGAATTTGTTTCAAACTAACATGGGGTGAGGAGTGGCAGGAGGTGAGAAGGAAGCAGATTTCACCAGGGGTTGATCATGTTGCACCTAGTTGATGAGTATGTAGAACTCACCACATTACTGTTTATTTTTAAGCTAAAGAGAATTCACAGACAATTTCTTCCACAAGCTGTGTGTTAGAGGAAGTACCCACATCAGAGTCATCAGGGAAGAGAGAGTGTTTTCATGTTCAAATGTAAACACCTGGGCTTATCAGCAGCTTTTCTGAAAGAAAACCTTGTAGGGCTGGCACCCAAGGATAAGCTACTCCTGAATGGTTCTTATGTTCACTAGAATTGGAAAAACACTGATTAAAATTGAATAATTACTTTCTAAAAGTAAACAATCACTTCTGAATTAATTTGTTTTGTAAATTCAGATTTCTCAATATTAATTTTCTTAATGCAAACCAAAGTTTCCACTAGACTCTTGTCACTTCAAGAATGATTTTTAGTATTCCTGTGCAACTCATTCTGTGAGAATGAGCACTTTGAACACTGAGTGCTTGCCATGAACCATGCTACTTGTGCTAACTATCCTTATTTTAATAATTGAATCAATCCTTTAAAGTAGGTATTGTCCCATATGATCCTGCTATATACTCATGGGCTTACAACCAAATGAATGGAAGACAGTATAGAACAGAGACACCTGCACACCCATGTTTATAGCAGCACTATTCACAATAGCTGAACTATGGAATTGGCCTAGGTAACCAATGAATGGATAAAGCAAATGTGGTATATACACAATGGAGTATTGTTCAGCCATAAAGAAGAATGAAGTTATGTTATTTGTAGGAAAATGAATGAACTGGAGGTTATCATGTTAAGCAAAATAAGACAGACTGAGAAAGACAAATATCACATGTTCTCTCCCATATGTGGAATCTAGACACTCCCCCCAAATGATACAAGTATAAAATGTATAGTTTTGTGGTGGGCATCCATGGGAGGAGGGAGGTGAAGAGAGGGTGATGAGAGGGTGAATATGATCGAAGTATTTTATAAGAATGTATTTTCATACATGAAACCCATTAAAATTAGTTAGCTAAATAATTATTTGCTAAATTATTTAGCAATGGGGAAAGGAGATAAGAAAGAGTAATACAGGGGTGAATATGGTCAAAAGTACATTATATGCATGTATGGAAATAGCACAATGAAACCCCTTTATAAATTAATATATGTTAATAAAAAGTAATAAAGTAGATATAATCTGTTTTATATCCAAGGAAGGCAAAGACTCAGAAATTTGAATATTAGTCCAACGTCACAAATCTATTAAAGGAAGGTGTAAATCTGAACACATACCTTTTCATTCTAAAGCCCACAAATGGTGTCACAGAAAGAACCTACACAAACTGTCACAGGGCAGTGCCCACCACAGTTGGTTCTCTGTATCTGTGGATCCAACCGATCTTAGATGGAAAATATTTGGGAAAATACCCCATGTTTCTTTGTCAGTATTTCCTAAACAATACAGTATAAACAACTATTATATAGTGGTTACATTGTATTATGCTTTAAAAGTCATCTAGAGATGATTAAAGCATATGGGAGGTATGTGTAGCTTATATGCAAATACTAAATCACTTTACATAAGGAACTTGAGCAACCAAGGATTTTGGTATTGGGGACAGGGTGTCCTAGAACCTCTTCTCCTCAGATAATATCAAGAGACAACAATAATTTACCTAGTGGTAAAATACATGAGCTTGCTCTAACACAAGTCCTTGCTCTAACACTTAGTACTTGTTTTCTCCTTATTTCTTTGTAAGTGGAGTTAAAAGAGATATGTTGATAGCAGCAGGCTTTGAAGGATTAAATCATTTGTGCACAGTGTCTAACATTTAAGAGCTTAGTAAAGGTTAGTTGTTATCCCTGTTTTAGGATTGCCTTCACTTCGATAGTTCACTCTGCATTTAGAGCAACTGTGATGTCATTTCAGGGGTTATTTGTTTAAATCTCACTTCCAGGCATATCTATCCCTAAAACACATGAGAGCAGTATATGGAAATTCTTTTTGGTATTGTACTAATGTCAGGAAGTTTTCCCTATACCAGAATGAATTTTCTTGCTGCTAAAGTTCCCTTCAAATCATTTTGTCTTTAGAAGGGATGGACACGCAGAGAGGGCCCTTAAAAAAAAAAATTCTCCATTACCTTCTATTTTTTTGTACCAAGCACTCTAAGTTAACAAACAAAACAAAAACCAGTGCAGTACTATGTATGGCTGGGATTGAACGTGTTTATATTTTCATTTTGATTTCAGAGCTTGACTCTCACCTTTGCCATTTTCTGGCTGCATGACTTGAAAAATCACTGCATTTGCCTGTGCTTTACTTTCCTCATCTATTAAATGTGGAATACCTATTTCACAGGGTTGTGAAAAGTAAGCAAGTAACGGATAAGGACTTCAGAACATGTCCCTAATACATTAAATGCTTGATACATGTCAGCAATTGTTATTATGTAGCAACTTTTAAATTAGCTACACTGAACACTATTAAATAGTGACGATTTTAGATTAGCTACATTCAACACTTCATTAAAATCTGTGACCTAAACCACAAATGGCAGGTAGTTTAATATAACTGATGCCAGTTATTATTTTATTTTTTTTTTTGGTGGGAGAGAGCAGCAAACAGTACTTTTTAGGGAGGAGGGGATTGAACTCAAGGCCTCCAGCTTACTAGGCAGTATCTTACCACTTGTGTAATGCCCACCTAGTCCTTTTGTTTCAGTTTGTTCAGATAGTCTCACTAACTTTGCTTGGGCTGGGCTCAAGCCACGATGAGCCTCCTACCTCGGCCTCCCCAGTAGCTGGGATTACAGCAGTGTACCACCACACCGGTCCTATGATGCCACTCTTCCTGGCTCTCCCGACCCAGTCTGGACCCCCCACTGCAGAGGAGCTCCTAGACCTTCGGTCGTGCTCCCAGGGAGAGTGGCCAATTTGGTTTTGCGAGCTTTTCCTTGTTCTTCGCAGTCATATATACCCCACTTAGCCATTCTATGACATCTTTTCCCTCTGCTTTCAAGACTAGCTCAGCACATTTCTAGAACCTAAACGGATGCTGAAAACCTTGTCCATTGACAACCACGAGGCCTCCAAGAGTACAGGATTGTTCTAGCGGCCTGTTTAAGGTGTACTTTACCGACCTTCCACCATTTCATCCTCATAATAATCCCACGAGGTGACACCAATCAAGAGGACGTCTTGAGTAACTGAACCAGAAGATTGTGCCTGCATTTATAGGCGAAGGAAGAACCCTAACTCTGACAGGTCTCATTCTAACGACAGGCTCTATGTAAAACTTTCTCTTACAGAATCCAGGAAATGACTTGGTTCAACGCCGCTTTAAAAACCTCAGCCGTGACAGATGTGCGGGGACAGGACTGACTCAGCAGTAATTACAGGACCTGCCAGTCACACTCGGAGGGCGGGACGGGTCGTCTGGGCGGCTTTGGGATCTGGGAACTGCGAATCATTTGGCTTTTAGGGCCTAAGGCCAATGGTGGCGGGGACTGGGCCGGGGACTGGGGCCGGTGACCCAGGGCCGCCCGCCTCCTCCGGGCGCGCAGTGGCCGACTCACCTGCGTGGCCGCCAGCCGCGCCCGCACCTCGCGAATCAGGAACGGCTCCAGGCCGCGGCCGGCGGTGCAGAAGAAGCGGGCGCCCCCCCTAGGCCCCCGGCCGGGCTCTCCGCGAGCCGCGGCCATGGCGCTTCGGCGCGGCCCCGCGGCCGGTCACGTGGGCGCAGCGCTCGCGCGCTCTCGAGGACGCGCGCCGGGCGGCTCTGGTCTGGACCTGCGCGGGAGCGAGAGCCCGGAGCTAGCGGGAGCGCCCTTGTGGGTGTCCAGGATAACTGCACCGAACCGCCTCGACCAGATGGAAACCGCAGGTGACAAGGCTGTCAGGGTCCTTCAAGGAAAACCGACGCCCCCAAGTGGCCCAGAGACCGCGCAGCGGAGGATGGAACCTAGGTCCCCCCATTCCTTGCATCTTGCTTCTTTCTTTCATTCCTTTGCCACTCCTTCCTCATAGAATGAACCCTTTTCTGTCTTCCCCCCAAATTGGGCCAAACTTGCGAATCCCCATCACCAAGAGCCGGAATCCCTGTTCTCCCGCAAACTGCCCTCAAGATTCTGAAGCAGGTCTCATTTCTTGAACTATTTAAGCATCCCAGTTCTTGGGCTACTGTGTGAACCATTAAAGCAATAAAGGAGGACTGGAGGTGTGGCTCAAGTGCTAGAGCACCTGCTTTGCACAAGCATGAAACCCTGAGTTCAAAACCTCTTTGCCACCAAAAAGACAAAACAAACAAAAAACCAACAACAACAACAAAGTTACAGCAATAAAGGAGCTGGTGGCTCACACCTGTAATCCTAGCTACTCAGGAGGCAGAGATCAGGAGGCTCACTGTTCGAAGCCGCCCAGGCAAATATGGGTTCCACAAAACCATTATCTTGAAAAAAACCATCACACACACACACACACACACACACACACACACACACACACACATCCCAATAAAGGAATATACCTGTCCAGTTTGGGTCACCTGATTTCAGTGGCTCTCCTAACAGTACGTAAAGGGATGCTTTTAAATTTAGCTCTGAATTTTAAAATGACAATGAAAATATTACTTGGGAAGAATAGAATGCATGCCAGAAAACAGGCAACATTAAATTTGCTCTGTAGTTACATATTGAATCAGACATATAGAAATTATTAGTTGAATGCCTATTTGTTGGGCAAGTGCCACCCATGGGTATCAAGATGGGTGACTGATACTCCCTTGCCTCTCCCCCGTTCTCTCAGCTCATGATCTACCGGCACAGTGTGGTACAAATTCTTGTGGGACTCCTGTGACATGAACTTTTCAAAGGCTCAGTCCTAAGATTTCTTAGACCCTTCCATTTTGGTGAAATCTTTTCTTTTCCTTTCTCCCTTTCTTCCTCGCTTTCTCCCCCCTTCCAAATTGTTCACTTTCTCTTGGCTATAGCTGAATCTTCATACTCCCAATATTGTGTGTTAAAGAGAGTAAACATGCACATATACTACTACATGGTGTTCAGTTCAATAACTAATGAACAGTTAGCTCTCTGCCAGTCACCAGGCTGTCCTGAGATTCAAAGATGAGTAAGCAAGGGTCTGGGCTTTAAACTGCTTAAAGGATGGTGAGGTTGACTGACTTACCAAGGATGTGCCCAGGAAGCTGAGGCAGCACCACAAAGAGGAGGCAGGGAGAACTTCCTGGAGATAATCACCCTGAGCCCAGCATGCAAAATGTGTGAGGGAGCAGAGGCAGATGCAGGTGTGTGAGATTTTGGGTGGGGTGGGGAGGGAAGACCTGAGAGTAATTAGGTGTGAGAGCATTAGTTAGGTGAGTTAAGAAATAAGTAGAGATAAAAGTATAAATGTGGGGGAGGGGCCAGGTTGTCAGTGCCACTTCAGAGCACGTAAAAAATGCCTTTCTGTCCTGTGCTGGAGTGGCCATCAGGAATGCTTCCGATGGAACCACAGCTGAGCTAAGGCTGCAGTCCTCAGCTTCCCTCTCCTTCCTTTCCTTCTGATGTCCTTCTGCACAGGTAGTGACACACTTGCTTCCACCTGGTAGAATCTCAGAGTGTGCTGAATTGGATAGACTGTAACCAAATGGAAGAGCAATACATGAAATCCCTCTTGGCAAGGAGGAGTGCTCTAACTGTCCTATCAACAGGGGCCTGTGAGAACAGGATGTGGGGCTAAGCATGAGGTAGTGAGACCAGTGAGGTAATGTCCTTAATCAGGACATTAAGAGGTAAGAGAACCCCAGACAACTTTCTTTACTTCTTCTGCTTCTCCTTATCATCTCCTCTGGCCACTCCACCAGCCCCTCTGTTGTATGCTGGTGCAGTTTGAGTGGGGCTAGTGACAAGCCTTGGTCTCCTCTCTGCAAGAGATTAAGAACCATGGTTATATACCAACCAATACCAACTGTTAGCTTCTTTAAAATCTCTACTATTTCCCTCCTACCATATCTTTGGGTACTCCATTTCCTTTGCCTAGGATTATACTCTTCCATTTTTTTTTCTTCAAGCCTAAGCTAGAATGGCACATCTTCTTATGATGCCCTTTCCTTTCTTGCACCTTTTTACTTATATAAAACTTTGTGTCTTTATCATTTATTTATTCATTTGTCAATATTTATCAAGTTAATATAACAAGGGCCCAGCCTTGGAGACACTTTCAGTTTATTGGGAGGTAATGGTAATGGGATTGACTTGTGAGAATGACATATAAAGGATATAATATAGTGTGGTATATGGGCATTAAGGAAAGCAGCTGGGCCTGGCGTGGCCCAGCCACTTGACAAATAAACTTTAATAAAAGAATGTATCTCCCTTTCAGCCTCTTTCCTAGTCTGGAGTATCCTTTGCCTCATGAGGCATCACCTCCTCAAGTCAGAGCCTCTTTTGCAGCCAGAGCATAGACTTTTCCAGTAAGGCTCACATAACTCAGAAATGAGCAACTTTGGGGAAAAGGCTCATCTTAGAATTCATTTTGCTTCTCTGGGGTACTGGCCAGGGTGTCTGACCTTCACGGAAAGCCTCATTAGGAGCAGGCAGAAGTATTACTGGTAGGAAGGTGGTGGGATCACCAGTTTCCTAGTCAGGCTGGTTTCTGAAAGATTACTTTAGGTTGGCTTTTCAGTCTTCCCACCGGCTGAGTCACATGTTTGTTTGTTTTTTAAAATAACAAACTCTCCATTCCATCAGTCAAAGTTAGTATCTGTTTCCTTTCTTTTCTTTGTGCGTTACTGGGGCTTGAACTCAAGGTCTTCACCTTGAGCCACTCTGCCAGCCCTTTTTGTGATGGGTATTTTCGAGACAGGGTCTCGTGAACTATTTGCCCCGCTGGCCATGAACTGTGATCCTCCTGACCTCTGCCTTCTGAGCAGCTATCTAGGATTACAGATGTCAGCCACTGGCTCCCTGCTAGCATCTGTTTCTTGCAACATGAACTTTGATTGATACTCACTCTTTCTGGGTAGGTTCTACTTAGTTTGTTTCTCTCCTGGTGGCTTGTGAAGCCTACATCTTTTCCTGATGGGTTTGTAAGCACAGTGAAGGAACAATGAATTCCTGCCCACACAAGACCATAGAGTAACTTGTAAACAGTAGGATTTTATAACACTTTTGGAATTCAGTTGCATTGTGACATTGTGATAAATCCTTACATGTGGACCCACAAATCTGTCAGACAGACACGTTCCAAGGAAGTCAATGAAAAGGGGAATCAGCATGTTTTTATGACTGCAACTCGAAGCCTTCTGGGAAAGAGTGGTCACATGCTGATCATTTAAGTCATTTATATGCATACAGTAATCACCTCGAGTGGTACTTCTCAGTCAAAAAGAAAATTCAGCAGAAAACTTTCGCACAGTATGTGTACATACTGTTTTTAAATGTTACTTGCCAATTAGTGTTTATGTTACTGTAGTTTCAAAGTAGCATCAAAATTCTGAAGATGCACTCTTCATGCTCTGATCTGGAGAGATAATCCCATTTTATGTGTTATCTTGGATGCAGTTACGCAGTGCACGAAATTATTTTGATGTAAAAATACAGTCAAGTGTCTTCCAGTGCCTTTTCTGAAAAGTGTGCTATGTATTTGATACATATTTTAAAACACTTGGCTATTTGATGTGATTTTATTTGTTTAAATATATTTTGAGCCCATAAACTTTATATATCTGATAAACCTTTATAATGCCCCAGTTGGAAGACAGTAGTGAAATTGTTTCTTTGATACATTTTTGAATGAACAAATGACTGAATCTGCAATTTTCTTCAGTTTACTCAAATGAACTAGATTGCCTAAATCAAATAAAGCTATTTTCTTCTCGCAGTTATGTGCATGTTACTCAGACTGTTATTTTAATATTCCTTTCCTCTTGCTGCATTTGTGATCACATTTATGAGAACTGTTTCCTTTTAAAGTTTTGCCATCACTTTTTTTTTCATTATGTTTCATTATGTTGTCAGGCTGTCTTCAAGTTCCTGGACTTAAGAGATACTCATGCCTCAGCCTCCTGAGTAGCTGGGACTGCAGGTGTGCCATCGTGCCTGATTTGTTTCCATTTCATAGTCCAAAGAAAGCCCCAAGTGTCCAAAGCTAGTAAGGATACACATATTTTGATTTTTCCCACTTTCATTTTCTTGTAAGTCTTACTCCTTTGTAGTATATGTTCACTTATTTTGCATGTTTCCTCAAAATTATCTTAAAACTTAAGCAGATGTGATGTGCAAATAAACAAAATAACCAAGGGCTAGACTATTTTCTTAAAAGCAGAAAGAGTACTCTATTTTATGTAAATGCTATTTGGCAGACTAGAAATTGAACAGTTTATAAGAACAGTGACTTAATTCAGTTAATTTTTCTCCCACTGTTGGTATGAAGAGTTGAGCATATATCATAGAACAAGCAAACTTATTCATTATGTATTTATTCATCTCTTAATATTTTTCTTTTTGTTGAAGGGTGATAAATCCTTGCTGCCTACAGACATTTAGTGCTGTTTTGAGAAATAGATTTTAGCACCACTGAGACATTCTAATACACATTAACACATAATCAGGTTTATCTTCTAGCAATTTTCTTTTAAAATGTTTGAAATTTAATAGTTAAAAATATACAATTAAGTATATTTATACTTAATGCAATTTTTTTTTAGAATGAATAAGAA